AATGAGGAATTGCTAGGAGATGTGACAGATGGCAGTTTCAGGAAGGTAGAAAAACTACAGGTACAGTCCTGTAGATGGGCTACCTCTGGGAGAGGTAGGCAGGTAAGTGCAGGAGTCTTCTGTCATATCCCCATCTCAAACAAGTATGCTGTTTTGGAAAATATAGGGAGTGATGGACACTCAGGTGAATGTAGCACTGACAATCAAGTTTCTGATACTGAGACTGGCTCTACTGTAACAAGGCGTATATCAGGTTGTAAGCATTCAATTGTGATAGGGGACTGTCTTGTCAGAGGCCCAGACAGACATTTCTGTGGCCAGCATTGAGATGCCAGAATGGTATTGCCTTCTGGATGCCAGGGTCAAGGATGCCTCGGAGTTTGCAGAATATTTTCAAAGGGAAAAAGACCAGCAGGAGGTCATTCTACACATTGGAACCAATGTTCTGTGGAGACAATATAGGAAATTAGGCAGGAGGTTTAAAAAGTGGGTCCTGCAGGATAGTAATATCTAGATTACACCTGGTGCCATATGCTAGGGAGAGGTAGGAATAGGATGATAGAGCAGACGAATGCATGGGTGAGGAGCTGGTGCAGGGAGAAGGATAGATAAGACCCCTGGGCCAGAAGGGACATACCCAAGGTTGCTATGGGAAGCGAGGGAAAAGATTGCTGCCCCTTTGGCAATGATCTCTGCGTCCTCACTGTCCGCTGGAGTAGTACCAGAAGATTGGAGGGTGGCAAATGTCATTCCCTTGTTCAAGAAAGGGAATAGGGATAATTGTGGGAATTACAGACCGGTCAGTTGTACTTCTGTGGTGGGCAAATTGTTGCAGAGGATTCTGAGAGATAGTGTTTATGATTATCCGGAAAAGCACAGTTTGATTGGAAATCGTCTGCATGGCTTTGTGAGGGGCAGGTCACGTCTCTCAAGCCTTACTGAATTCTTTGAGGATGTGACAAAACATATCGATGAAGTTGGAGCAGTGGATGTGGTGTATATGGATTTCAGCAAGGCATTTGATAAGGTTCCACATGGTAGGCTCATTCAGAAAGTAAGAGGCATGGGATTCAGGGAAATTTGGCTGTCTGGATACGAAACTGGCTGTCCAATAGAAGACAGAGGGTGGTAGTAGATGGAAAGTATTCAGCCTGGAGCTCGGTGACCAGTGGTGTTCTGCAGGGATCTGTTCTGGGACCAATTATAAATGACTTGGATGAGGAAGTGGAAGCGTGTGTTAGTAAGTTTGCTGATGACACGAAGGGTTGGTGGAATTGTAGACAGCATGAAGGGCTGTTGTAGGTTGCAATGGGACATTGACAGGATGCAGGGCTGGGCAAAGAAGTGGCAGATGGAATGCAACCCAGAAAAGTGTGAAGTGATTAATTTTGGAAGGTCGAATTTGAATGCAGAATATAGGGTTAATGGCAGGATTCTTGGCAGTGTGGAGGAACAGAGGGATCATGGGGTCCACATCCATAGATCCCTCAAAGTTGCTACCCAAGTGTATGGTGTGTTGGCAGGGGAATTGAGTTCAAGAGCCGTGAGGTTATGCTGCAGCTCTATAAAACTCTGGTTAGACCACACTTGGATTATTGTGTTCAGTTCTGGTCGCCTCATTATAGGAAGGATGTAGAAGCTTTAAACAGGGTGCAGAGGAGATTTACAGGATGCTCTCTGGACTGGAGGGCAGGTCTTATGAGGAAAGGTTGAGGGAGCTAGGGCTTTTTTTATTGGAGCGAAGAAGGATGAGAGGTGACTTGATAGAGGTGAACAAGATGATGACAGGCATAGATAGAGTGGATAGTTAGAGACGTTTTCCCAGTGTGGAAATGGCTATTACGAGGGGGCATAATTTTAAGGTAATTGGAGGAAGGTATAGGGGAGATGTCAGAGGTAGGTTCTTCACACAGAGTGGTGGGCGTGTGGAATGCGCTGCCGGCTGTGGTAGTGGAGTCAGATACTTTAGAGACATTTAAGCAGCTCTTGGATAGGCACATGGAGGATAGTAAAATGTAGAGTATGCAGGGTAGACTGATCTTAGGAGGATAATAGGTTGGCACAACATCGTGGACCGAAGGGCCTGTACTTTGCTGTACTGTTCTATGTTCTATGATGCACATTTTTGGATCATTGGAATCTCTCTTCTTCTGGGTTAGAAGCAACCTGTATAAGGAGGATGGGTTGCACCTGAATTGGAAAGGGCTTAATATACTGTCAGGGAAATATTCTAGAGCCACCCAGGAGAATTTAAACTAGTGGGGGGACCCAAAAAATATTGAGAAAAGGGATCAGTCCGAGGTTGGTGCAGTTGGGAAAAGGAGCAAGTCAGATTGTCAAGGCAAGCAGGGGCAAACAGAACAGGGTAGGACTGTTAAATTAAACTGCATTTATTTCAATGCAAAAGGCCTGGCAATTCAGGCAGATGAACTGAGGCATGGTTGGGAAATGCGACCGGGATATCAAAGCCATTACAGTGACATGGTTCAGAAATGGACAAGAGTAGCACCTTAACATTCCAGAATATAGACACTATACGAAGGGTAGAAAGGAGGGAGCAAGATAGGAGGTGGAATTGTGTTTTTGGTCAGGGATAATATTACCACTGTACTTGGGGAGGATATTCTGGGAAGTACGTCCAGGGAAGTTATTTGGGTAGAACTGAGAAAGAAGAGAGAAATGATCACCTCATTGAGATTATACTGTGGACCCCCTCAATAGTCAATGGGAAATTGAGAAGCAAATTTGTGGGGAGATCCGTTATCTGGAAAAATAATAGGGTGGTAATGGTAGAAGATTTTAACTTACCAAAGGCCAATTTTGACAGTATTGGGCAAAAACTTTCAAAAGTTAATTGGGGGCAGATATTTGCAGGAAGGGATAGCTGAAAAGTGGGAAGCCTTTAAAAATGAGAAAATGAGTCCGGAGACAGTGTATTCCTTTAGGGTGAAGGGCATGGCTGGTAGTTGTAGGGAATGTTAGATGACTAAAGAAATTTTTCATGACAAAGAAAGAAGCATATGTCAGGTATAGATAGCAGGGATCGAGTGAATCCCTAAAGGAGTATAACAGCAGTAGGAGTATACTCAGGAGGGTAAAAAAGGACATGAGGTAGCTTTGGCAAATAGGGTTAAGGAGAATCCAAAGGGTTTCTACTAATACATTAAAGAAAAAAATTGTAACCAGGGAGAGAATAGAGCCCCTGAAAGACCAGCAAGGCCACCTATGTGTGGAACCGCAGGAGATAGAGAAGATACTAAATGACTATTCTGCATCAGTGTTTACTGTGCAGAATAGAGAATTTGGGGAAATAAATAGTGATATCTAAGTGTCCATATTACAGAGGAGGTGCTGGATGTCTTAAAATGCATAAAGGTGGTTAAATCCCCAGGACTGGATCAGATGTAGCCTAAATCTTTGTGGGAAGCTAGGGAAGTGATTGGGCCCCGTGACAAGATATTTGTATCATCGATTGCCACAGGTGAGGTACCGGAAGACCAGAGGTTGGGTAACATGGTGTCATTATTTCAGCAAGGTGGTAAGGAAAAGCCAGGGAGCTATAGGCCAGTGAGCCTGACATCAGTAGTGGGCAACTTGTTGCAGGGAATCCTGAGGGACATGTATTTGAAAAGGCAAGGACTGATTAGGGATAGTCAACATTACTTTGTGCATGGGAAATTGTCTCTCTGGCTTGGGTTTTTTTTGAAGTGACAAAGAGGATTGATGAAGGCAGAGTGGTGGACATTGTCTATGTGTACTTCAGTAAGGTGTTCGACAAGGTTCCGCATGGTTGACTAGTTAACAAGGTTGTATCACATGGAATACGGGGAGTACAAGCCAACTGGATACAAAATCGGCTCAAAAGTAGAGTGAGGATGGTGCTGGAGGAGGGTTGCTTTTCAGACTGGAGGCCGGTGACCAGCAGTGTGCCACAGGGATCAGTGCTGGGTCCACTGCTTTTTGTCATTTATATAAACAATTTAGATAGGAATGAGATTTGGTTAGTAAGTTTGCAGATCCTTCCACTATTATAACCTCCAAAATTATTTCCCAATTTTTCATTTTTTTCCAACAATCTGCCAATCTCACTAATTTACTATCAGGGACAAATCTTTCTTCTAATTAGTCACATCTTCCAATTTGACATTCGCTGCAAATTTTGATTTTGCTCTATTTCAAGGCTCAGATGATCCATAACTAAAGCATACCAAATACAACACATTGAAAGAAGTACAGAACAAACATCACCAGTTATTTTGCCCAGCTGCCAAGTTGAAAATCCAATTTCAATACTAAGTTTGCTTAGGATTGTGAAGGAAACATTGAAGTTTTGCTGGTGAACACATCAACATAAACATTTATCCGACAGCAACAAAATCTCTATTTCATATGTTATGTTGCAATTTGTAAAATATGTAGATTTGCTAATCCTCATGATTGGTCTGGAGTCTCCAGACATTGAGTCTCCAAGACACACTTGTGTGCAACCCTGAAGAAAATTCATAGCCATGGCAAAAAAGATTTTCTTTGTCATTTGTCCTTACCATTTGTATGATGTTGCTTTCTAAATTGGTTTAGGAAAGCAGTGCAACACAACCACGAATGTGTTGGCCCACTAATGGCTGGAGTGTGGGACGAGCAAAACTCCCAGGAGTATACTTAATCATAGTGGACAACCCTAATCGCTAAATAAGCACTTGGTGAGACACAGACCATATCAGTTCATGTACCGTTTCCTGTGGTAGGATCAAAACTGTGTCCTTTTTGAAGCTGTAACAGCCAGTTTTTCATCCAGAGGTCCAGAATAGTTACCACTCACTTTCTCCATTAGCAGTGAGTCTGGACACGAGGAAGAACATTATAGATCATTTTGATTAGCCTCACCGTTGGCCCTGAAAGAAGAAAAATATTCTTCAAAAGGGCGGAATTGGAAGGGAACCCACTTCCCATTGGCTGTGACGTCGATCCTGTCCCCAACCGGAACAGAGAATGTTTGTTTCAGACAGTGCGAGGGCAGACCAAGTGGCGGTTGGTCGACGCAACAGTTCTGGAGTGGTCAGGGACGTATAGATTTGTCGGTAAACTGGACGGAGCGAAGATAAAACTGGAGTATAAACCCGTTGGAGCTGGAATGAGCCGAGATAGACGCCATGATTAAAGTGGTTAGTGGGAATGAACTGGAGATAAACCAGTGAGAGTGGGATAGACCCAGAGAGAAATCGGCCTGAGCTAGTTTCAACAGGTTACAGCAGGATAGAGCCAGTTAGAATAAGGATAACCGCTTACAAAGGGATAGAACTAGTTGGAAGTAGCCGTTCAGCGGAGTTCAAATAGAAAAGGAGGGGAGAGAAAGAGAAATAACCTTTTGGGGGAAGGGGAGGAATGGCAAGACATTAGAGAGATTAACTGTTTAGACATGGTGAATCATTGGCTGCACTGTTGCCTCACACCACCAGGAACCCAGGTGCGATTCCACCCTTGGGCGACTGTCTGTGTGAAGTTTATACATGTCTTTGTGCGATTTCCTCTGAGTGCCCCAGTTTCCTCCCACAGTCCAAAGACGTGCAGATTAGGTGGATAGTGTCCAGGGCTGTGCAGGCTAGGTGGATTAGCCATGGGAAATGCAGGGTTACGGGGATGGGGTAGCAGGGCAGGTCTGGGTGGGATGCTGTTTGGAGGGTACGTGGACTGGAGGGGCCAAATGGGCTGCTTCCATACTGTAGGGATTCTGTGGCTGGTGTACAATGCCTTTGCATATCCATACTTCTCCTATATCTCCATTTAAATAATATTCCTCCTTTCTGTTTTTCTCACTGAGGTGTAAACTTCACATTTAGCCACAGTGTACTGCACCTGCCACTCCACTGAACTTGTCTGAACCATCTTGAAGCTTCCCTGTCACCACCTCGAAGCTTCCCTGTCACCACCTCAACGCTCAATCCTGTTCAGTTTTCTGTCATTAGCAAACTTGGAAATGTTGCTTTTGGTGTCCTCATCCAGGTCATTTATATATATCATGAATAGCTGGGCCCAAACTCTGCCCTTTAAATACCCCACTCGTCACTGCCTACCACTTAGAAAACCACCCATTTATAGCCACTTACTGTTTTCTGCCTGTCAGTCAATTCTCAATCCATTCTGACATGTTAACCCCTATCCAATGAGCTATAATTTTACCCTAACCTCTTCTGAGAGACCATATTAAAGGCCTTCAGAAAATCCAAATACCTCAAATCCACTCGTTCTCTCCACCTATACTACTTCCCAAATGTTCTGTTATCGTGTCTTTTATAATAGACTTCAGCATTTCACCTCTACTGACGTAGAATTCTTTTTTTTCTTCCCTTTTGCTTTTTACATAGTTTAGCCAGGTTGAACTTGTTTTACCCATGGAAGGGAGTGAAATAAGATTAAACAGTTTGGTCAGGGTTGACTAAAGGAGTGAGATGGACGTTAACCTGTTTTTCCAGCCACAAGGTGAGTTTGCTGATCCACTGCCCCAAACAGTAAGTTCCATTGAGGCTCATAGAATCATACAGTGCAGAAGAGGCCCTTTTTCCATCGAGTCTACACCAACACGTGAGAAACACCTGACCTTCAACATAATCCCATTCACTAGCACTTGGCTCATAGTTATTGTAATCCCATGTGTCATTGTTATGACATGTCAAGTGAATCCAGGTACTTTTTTGTGGATGTGAAGCAACTCGCTTCCACCAACTCCCTAGGCAGTACATTCCAGACTGTCACCACCCTCTGGATGAAAAAGATTTTCCTCTCATTCTCTCCCAAAAATTCCTGCGCCTCACCTTAAACCCATGTAATGTTGAGACTGACCCTACAACTAAGGGGACAGCTACTCCTTATCCATTTTGTTCATGCCTTTCATAATTTTGTACGCCTTGATCACATCACTCCTCAGTTTTCTCTGCTCCAATGAAAACAACCCAAGCCTAACCAACCTTACAATTTAAATTTTTCATCTCAGGCAGTATCCTGGTGAATCTCCCCTGAACCCTCTTCAGTACAGTCACATCCTTCTTGCATTGTCGCAAACAGAAATGCACACAGTACGCTAGCTGTGGCCTTTATTTCACCACCCTTCTCACATGTCCTTCTGCCTTCAGAGACCTTTGGCCAAAGACGCCAAGGTCTTTTTGTTCCGTAAACTTCTTAGTGTTACGCTGTTCGTTGAATACTTTCTTGTCAAATTATTCCTTCCAAAGCGATTCATCTTCCAGTTTTCAGGGTTGAATTCTATCTGCCACTTATCAGCCCATTTGACTATCCTGTCTATATTTTCTTGTAGCCCAAGACACACAACCTCACTGTTAACCACCCAACCAATTTTTGTGTCATCCACAAACTTATTAATCCAAACTCCCACACAGTAATCTGTCATTTATATGAATGACAAATAATAGAGGACCCAGCACAGACCTCTGTGGCACACCACTGGACACTGGCTTCCAGTCACTAAAGCAACCTCCTGTCACCACCCTTATTCTCCAACAACTGAGCCAATTTTGATTCCACTTTTTCAAATTACCCTGTATCCTGTATGCATTTGCCTTCTTAATAAGTCTCCTATATGGGATCTTGTCAAAAGTTTTGCTGAAATCTATAAACTACATCACCTACGCTATCCTCCATCTACATGCTTGGTCACGTTCACAAAAAAATCAAACAAATTTGTTGGGCATGCCACCCACCCACCCCCTGACAAAGCCATTGCTGACTATCCCTGATCAAGTCCTATCTCTTCAAGTAGATACAGATGCTGTCCTTCAGCATTTTCTCCAGTAGTTTCCCTCCCGTTATGTGAAACTCATTGATCTGTAGTTCTGTGGCTTATCTCTACAACCCTTCTTCAACATTGGAACAACTTTAGCTGTTCTCTCACAGCTCCCCCTTGGTTAGAGAGGAATTAAAAAATTTGGTCAATACCCCTGCAATCTCCTCCCTTGCCTCCTATAGCAGCCTGGGACACAATTCGTCTGGATCTGGAGATTTGTCTACCTTTAATCCTGCCAGCACTTCCAATACCTTGTCCTTCCCTATGTCAGTTTGCTGAAGCACCTCACAGTCTCTTCCCTCCCTGGATTCCATACCTTCATCCTGATTCTCTTGAGTGAAGATGGTTGTAAGTTATTGGTTCAACACTCTGTCAATGTCCTTGGGCTCCACCCACAGATTGTCCCTTTGGAACGTAATGGGCCCTATTCTTTCCCTGGTTATCCTGCTAAAAGCTTCTCTTTTCCTTCTCACTGTATCCTGAATATCTGTGGTTATCCATGATTCTCTGAGCTGTTACTCCTTCCTAGTATCCTAAAGGGAACATGTTGGATTGTACCTTCCCCATTACCTTTTTGAACACTACTGCTGTTCTGTAGATTTCATCGCTTGTAGCAGTTCCCAGTCTATCTTGGCCATATCCTGCCTTATTTTACAAAAAATGTGCTGTCCCCAATCCAAAACTTATTTTTTGTTTTGCGGTTTGTCTATTTCTTTGTCCATAATAAGCTCAAAGTGTACCATGTTGTGATTGCTATGACTAAAATGCTCCCTAAATACCATCTCAACCACCTGTCTAGCTTCATTTCCCAGAATTAGGCCCAGAACAGCTCCATCCCTTGTTATATCCCTCTACATATTGGCTTAAAGAGTTCTCCTGTACACATTTCGAGAAATCAACCCCATCCAAGTCCTTAGCACTATGTCTATCTTAGTTAGTGTTGGCAAAGTTGAAATCACCTACTATAATTACCCTAAAATTATTATTTTTACACACAACTGTGAATTGTGCACATATTTGCTCCTCAATTTCCTGCTGACTCTGGGGGTTTGTAATAAACACCTTGCAATATGGCTGCCCTTTTTTAAAAATTCCTAGTTCTATCCACAAAGTTTCATTTGATACCCCTCCAAGATCATAGAATCCTTACCGTATGGAAGCAGGCCATTTGACCCATTAAGTCCACACTGACCCTCCGAAGAGCATCCCACCCAGGTCCACCCCTATCCCTGTAATCCTGCATTTCCCATGTCTAAGCCACCTAGCCTGCACAATCATGGACACCTATGGGCAATTTAGCATGGCCAATCCTCCTAAGATGTCATCATCTTACTGCAGTAACTGTATCCTTAACTAATAATGCAACACTGCCTCCTGTTTTAACCCCGCCTCTATCTTGCCTGAAGATTCTATATCCCGAAACGTTGGTTGCCAGTCTTGTCCCTCCGTCAACCACATCTCTGTGATGGCTACTATATCACACTTCCATGTGTCAATCATCACCCTAAACTCATCCTTTTTACCTGTAATACTTTGACATTAAAGACCATCTTGCCTTGCCTAGAAAATTAATACAGCTGCACTCCCTCTGACTTGATTGTTTTACTACATGATTCTGTGCCATATTCTGCTAACAGACTGTGTTCCCTTCCCCTGCTGAATTAGTTTAAACTCCTTCCAACAGCACTAGCAAACCATTCTGCAAGAATATTGATCCTGCTCTGGTTCAGATGTAGACCATTCCTCTTGTACTGGTCCCACCTTCCCCAGAAATGGTTTCAGTGATCCAGGAATCTAAATCCATCCCTCCTGCACCAACACTTGAGCCACGCATTCATTTGCACTGTTCTCCTATTTCTGTATCCACTAGCACATGACACTGGGAGTAGTTCAGACATTACAACCTGAGAGGTCCTGCTTTTTAGTCTATAGCCTCGCCCCATGAATTATTGATACAAGACCTTATTCCTACTTTTGTACCTATGTCATTGGGACCAACATGTATGATGACCAGCATTGAGTCACCTTTGCCTTATCATTCCTTAGGATGCTATGCAGCCATACAGTGACATCCTGGATCCTAGCACCAGGGAGGCCAGACACAATCCTGGAGTCATGTTGACAGCCGCAGTAGTACCTATCTGTTCCCCTGACTATGGAATCCCCTATTACTATTGCTCCACCTTCCTTCATGTCTAGTCAGGCTGCTTGTGGTGCCAGAAGCTTGGCTCTGTCTGCAGTTCCTGGAAGACCAGAGCTGCCCTCAGCCTCTAAGATGGAATATCGAATTCCAAGTGGTATCCTGGGGTCTCATGAATTATCTGCCTGTTTCTTTTGGACCACCTGGTGGTCACCTATTCTATTCCTTCTTTAGGCCCACCTCTCTAAACATGCTGACAACATTTGAATATTGTGTTTGAATATTCAAGTGCCGCCCGTGTAGATTAGGTGTTATTTGAAAAGCCAAGTGCTCTTGATGCTGGCAAGCTGAAGTAAATAGGTAAAATGCTAGAAATATTCAGCATGATGAAACATTAACTCTGTCTGTCTTTTCATAGGTGCTGCCAGGCATGCTAAGTATTTCCAGCAATTTTGTTTACTGCATTGAATGTTGCTTCCAGGAGGCAATTGCACTTTTTATTTTGTGATTTTTCTTTAATTTGAGCACTGGAGGAATTAGAATCTGCTGATTGGTGGAACAGTTGCAGGGCAAAAAGATAGGCACATTGTAACGTGGTGTAATAAATACTTTTCCATTAATGGACCAATTATCTATCACTCTCTTTGAGGTGTTAACACTTGTCTGTGGCTGGACTTCAATATAAAAGTGAAATTTTAATCAACATAAATCTTCCAACTTGTGCTTTTTGTAAGCTTCATTAAAAATATAAAATTAGAATCTTACTCAACTTTTCAATGCTCAATAATAATTGTCACATGGTATTCAATTGTTCTCAAGATATAGTTTCAATTCTGGCTGAACTTAGTTTATAATAAATAAATGGTGTGACTGTTTATTTGTTATGTCAGTTATCTCTGTACTTGTCAGTCAGTTGCAAACAAAATTCTTGCCGTGGAAATAGTGTAAGTTATTGGGTGTGCTTTCAAAATAAAGTTGAGGGAATGGGGTCATTATCCTATCAAACCATGTTGCAGAGTCTCCCTCATCGTCTGAAGCAGTTTGTTGCGATTGTGAATGTTTTAGTTAAATGACTCAAAGGGGTTCTGGGATCAGGGATAGATCTAATGTATAATTTGTACTTTGTGCTTGGTGGTGGTACAGGTAGTGCTTGTAGGGTGAGATAGTTGAGTGTTTTGATGATTTGTGTGCAATCTTTGTCTTGACAAATCTCAGGAATGCTTTGACGACCCCTCTAATTTTTATTGTCCACTTGTAAATGTCATGTGAGAGAACTCTGATTAGAGCAGTTACTTCTAGGTGGGTGTAGATGCATGAGCAACATGTTCACCAGCAGAGCTGGTTTTGAGTGATTAGCATCTTAAAGTGGGCATATTGGTTTGGGAGAGGATATTGTTATTGGACCCCCTTAGTTGCCAATTGATTTGGAGAATCTTGAGCAGGCACCATTGGTAGTTCTTCTCCATTGCTTTGAGATGCCCTTTTATGTTCTTTTCGTGTAATGTAGGCATCGCTTGCCAGCCAGCATTTATTTCAAATTCC